GATAATTGAGGAGAAAAAATCGCTGAGGGGGTTCAAGAGCATACAAAAAATTGTATATCAGAGCTGCTTCAAGCACTTCACTAATAAAAATAGTGCAATGAATCGTGACGGAGAAATAAAAGATTTGAGGATTATGTATGCCAAAAAATTTTTGATTTTAACGACCAATGACAAATCGATCTAGCAGCAAACTCCAGACGACTGTGTAACTTTTTTTTAGCTTATATGAACGCTCCAGTTTGGAGTACGGTAGTTTAATCTGGAATCCCGGTACGGATGATATTCATCCTAATAGAAAGATTTATCACGGACTTTACTACACAGACTTGGAGTTCTTTAGATGAAAGATATGTAATCTTACTTCAAAATTCCTGTTTAGTTCATTACATAACAATACCGGTAACAGACTCCTTCTGTGTCAAACAAACTTCCTAAAGGCACCGTTAGAAAGTATAAATCATTACTTCTTTCATTTGGATACTCACCGAACAAATATCAATTTAAAATCACAAATATGTACCTACACACATCAAAAAAGTCTAGGGAACAACAATTGAAATTCATGAAGCTAGGTATAAGTAAGTAAGTAAGTGAGAATTTATTTCCTTTATGAGAAAATAATTTGTATAGGATCAGTCCTAAAAGTGAAAATGATACCTAGTCTAAATTTAAGTCTACATTCATGCCACAAAAGAAGAACATACATATATCTGTAATGTCTTTAATAAGTGCAAAAATATTCATCTACAGAATAAATAACTTGATTATAAAAAATTATTTCAATGCTAATTTGAATAATTTCAGTTCAGGGATAAATTCCATAGTTAATAGTGATTTATTAAATTATAGATGGATAATCGAAAAGTACATTTTTTTAAAGGTAGGTATAGGTATATGAAATGTTTCAAATTGCAGTATATAAAAATCTGTTTAAAATCTGTTTTTCCGTTAATCAGCTGTCGCCCCCATACGAACGACAACTCTTAGAAGTTGAGAAACTTGTGCGAGCTAAGGACTAACGAGGTCTTACCTTTCAACGTGTGATTCCTAACAAGGTTGCAGAATCATCCCCACTTATCTGGTCGAGGCGGGAATCGAATCCACGATCTTCCGATCGCGTGTCGGGCGCACTACCACCGCGGCCAATTCCACGAAACACAATTCCACAATACACATACTTCAAAAATAAACAGACATAGCAGAGTTAGGATTTTAAATTCTTTAAAGTAATTCTTATAACTGGTTGTACACCAGCAATACAACAAATTATTTTTTTTTGGGAGATGAAAACATCATTGACTTGCCATATCTCAAGCGAGATTTTGACTGAGCAAAGTACATCATAGTCAACTGGTCATGAGTGATAAAACGTCTGAAATTACGAAGCATTTAAATCACAGAATTCATATTCTGTATACTTGGTATATTTCTTGAATTGATATAGATATTGTTTACGACTATTATCTCAATATACGGTAGTAGTTCGAGAAAAAAATTCGATATGAGAAACAAGAAATTTTTATAGTTTTAGTGTTTTATTCAGTCACTGATCGAAACGATACAGCTACGACATTTGACATGTGGAGAGCAGTTGTGATGTTCAAAGCTGGCCAAATTCAAAGAGTTTTGTCTGTTGTGCAGGCTTTCATGATAGAAGCAAGTGTAGTTGATCGATTGTGGGAAAGATAGCGAAAGACTAGAGATTCAAGAGAGCAATATACAGGCCCTACAAAAACCACGGAGCCCGTTCTGGACCGATTTCTGCAGTTGCAGGCATTACGAGGCCTAACACTAACTGTACCTCCGTTGATATTTCATCAACTACTCTATACATGCATCATTTGAGTCAACGGACCAATCCACCCATTTGATAGTATTTCACTATGATTACTTTTCCTACAACTTCTTTCTGACTGACTGACTAAATATTTTAATTTCAAAGGCTCCCTAGAATTGAACATTTATGTGAAACAGTTTTAATAATATTGGTTTTTGATATTATATCATGATAATGTCTGATGTCCCCTTAGTTTAATAATTCAAATACCTACTTCAATTTCTGTTTTTTTTTGTAATAATGTTATTATTACAAAATATGCGAATACTTAGCTGGATACGTACTGATAGCAATGAAATGTTTTTTTTTCCTAAGATACCGACATTTATTAGAATAACTAAAAGAAACAGGCGATTCTAGAGCAAGATCATTTCTTATACAACGAATCAGCATTGCAATTCAGAGAGGAAATGCTGCATCAATCCTTGGCACCATTTCGCCTTCTCAAAGTCTTGATGAAATTTTCTTTAGTCCACTAAACTAGTCTGATACTACGGATTTCTCCCCAGCTTCTTCTGTTAAAAATTATCCAAACGTTAATGAGAGTAAATCAGACTTCAGTTCTAAAAAAAATTGTAGAAGAAGATTTAACAGGCAAACTCAACTCTAACAGTTTCAGCAACATAAAAGGACAAATGCAGAAGATAAAAATGTTCAAATCCAGGAAAAGTTTGCAGTGATTCAACACACAGCCGAATCTCCACCTTTTGCCAACTAGCCGCACGCCGAAAACGTGTTCAACGACAATCTTCCATCATGCTCCTTCAAACTCTCCAGAAGGTCCCACCAGTTTGTAGATCCAGACTGTTATAAGATGGGTTTGTTTCTATCTACTTTTATGATCGACGGTAGGGAAGTGAACTTGCAGCCAAGGTCGAAGCTTTGGAGCAAATTACGCTCTGCAAACTTCCCGTTATCTGAAGTTTTTCAAATACAGCAACGACCATTGCACGAAGATTATCAAGGCTTTTGATTTTGAATTCGACTTAAAGTTTGATTCGACTTTGATCTCGTCGGAAACACAGTCTCCAATAGAAAGACAATACAAGCTATTCGCCGTCGTTTACCACGAAGGCAAAAATGCCAACATTGGACACTACGTGACCGATGCTTCCACGTCGGCTACAATTGCTGGATTAGATACGACGATTCTTCAGTCAAGACCGTGCAAAAAGAAGACGTAATGAAACCCCAGGGAACGCGAGTTCCTCTTCTGCTGTTCTACAGGAAAAGCGATATCATCCTATCTAAATAAGGTTGCTACTTTTACGTAGAGTTCAGTGTCTGCAATCTTACGGAATTTCTCTTTTTAGTTTTTATTGAATTTGATATTGTTTTTTGGTTTTAATGAATTATTTTATTCCTTCATTAGTGATAGGTATTGTTTAATTTTTAATGATATATGTATTTCATTTATTTAAATGAAGAATTCAGTGATCAACAGAAGAAAAAACTGCCTCAATATAATGTCATCCATCAATCAAATCATATCAAATTACTAATTCAGAGATAAATCACGTCCAATTCTCATTTCTATGACTTTCCAGCATTACATAATTCACAATATTTCTAAAAATTTTCCATTTGCTATTTTTCATATAATATTTTACCAACATTGACTTTGTCAACATTTTTTTGGATGTAGCCTCTACTACGTGGTAGGAAATCATAATGAAAAATAGAATTGAAACTCTCTATGTTTTTTACCACTTTTATTTGTAGATTATTCGTTAATTTATAAGTTTGAAAATGTCTTTAGAGGATGAAACTATAGTAACGTTAGTTGCAAAAACATATAAAGTTTCAAATATATAGGTGTTTTAAAACTGATTGTTGGTGTTTTTTTTTCTCAGTCAACTCGAGAAAATTTATCAGAAGAAAGAATCTTGTTGTACTTACAGATCTTTGAATTAGTCTGACCAATTTTCAGAAGCGCATTCGAATTATTCTCAATGAAATACGTCCTTATCATCAATTATATCATTATGAGATACAACCAGGCCATAGTATAACGTCCGCATTTTCATTCAGATCATTGGTCAATCAATCTTATACTAAATTTCCCAAATACCAGTTATCGGTGAATACTCCAAAAATATAAATTCATAAAATATTTTCATCTTTTTCGGGCTTCATCACAATCACAACTATTCTGTGGTATAATAAGTTGGGGAGGAGAGAATGATTATTACCTTAGGAATCTAAATGTCATACAGAAATGAATACTGAAAATTGTATTTAATAGAAAATAAAAAGTCATCCAACTGAGGCCTTATTTAAAGAAGCAAGTGTATGTGATATTCGACAACTTTTTTGTATGAGCATACTGAGTAATGTTAAAAAAGGAAACATCCAAATAGAACCAATCACTCACTTCTACAATAGTAGGAAAAAAGGAAACTCTTTAAATGCACCACGATGTGTCAAAACAATAGGACAAGGAAACGCAACATATCTCGGACCACGCTTATATCAAATATTATCAGTAAAGAAATTTATTCTGAATACCGAAAGAACTTCATCAATCAGAATATTCCAAACAGCAATTTGACATAAGCAATTATTGAATAGATGAAAATAACTATGTATTCTGTCTGTAACTACTGCTTTTGTTATTAGGTTTATTTATTGATTGATTGATCACTCATTATTTTTTAATGAAATGTAAAAGTATTCATACACTTAATTCACAACATACTCTCATCACGAACAAGCTATAGATTTCTATGGCTTCTGTGATTATCTTGTTTATTTTCAATAGCACCCCATGTAATGTATATCAGTGTATGAGAAAATGAACACATTATTATTATATTATTATTATTATTATTATTTATAGGTGACAGTGATTCGTAGAGAAATTGTTTCAATCTTCTCCTAATCTACTGAGAAAAACAGTATTAGTCGTAATGATATTAATCTTTTCAACTGATTCAAAAACTGAATGTTTTCTTTGTTTTCATCTTCGATGCGTTATTGAGATAAAAATATTACGCCACAAGACACATTACAAGTCAGTAATGTCGAAAAAAAATACCAACCACGCCTCTGTATGTTTCTTGAATGAACCATTCACATTCGCAAAATAATAATCGTTCGTCGTGAATTTCGTTACAGTTAAATCTGGCCCCTCTCAGTTTTCATTCAAATTTTTCTGTATAAAAGAAAGGCGGTCCAAGACTAAGACACTTCCACTGAGTCTTCGAACTTGTTAAGATCTCTGAGATTAGCCGTAAGTGAAGAAATACATTCATTTTGCGGTTTACTGATTCAATTTTATTTTTCAGTGAAAATGTTCAAGTTTTTCGTTATAGTTGCTTCTGCTGGTACGTATATATTTGTATATATTTAATTTTAATCTAGTTTCTTTGAATGAGTTTGAAAAAATAATACTTAGTTTTCAATATAAATTAATCTTCCACCAATATGAAAGTGAATTATTCGATAGATTCATCAGTAGATTCATTGTGGTTCTAATCTGTGTGACACAATACAGTATGCTAATTTGAACATTTCTCACCATAAATATATTTTTTCTGGAAAATAAGATGAAAAACTGGCAAAACAAAGTAATATGTTAGCCTTCGTGGTAAAAGTAGCTCTGAGCCAATAATTTCGAAAGAAAACCGGGGACACCTTTCACAAAATTCTAAAGGGATTCCAATTCTCTTTCGAGTAGTAATTTATCACTAGTAGTTCCTGAAAAATTCCATTCGAAAATTAAAAAAAATCAGACCTAGGTATTGAGTTACTGATTTTATTGATTGAACAAATATCATTGTATTGTTATTCTAATAAAGATAGTTAGAATATTGGGCAGCACCACTTCAATCATTTAGTCGATCATTCAGTACTCATATAAAAGGCGTTTGACTTTCTCTTCATCAGTTTTTATACTTTTACAAAAATAAATTCTGATTTGTGAAAAAAAAAATTAAGAACGAAACAAATGGGGTCTACTTATCACTTACTCATTAACTCTGACTTCTGAGAATTCTCGTCATCGAAAATCACCAGTATTTGCAGGTGGTGTTTTATAAACATCTACTCAAGATGAATTTCAACTTCTTTTTGGGCTTCTTCGTTTTGAACTCGTCACTTATTTTCTATTCTACTTATTATCAAACCAGTTTTAGAAAACCTATCAATTTTTATAATGTCTCCTCTCAGACCATCAAAAAAAGAGAAGAAGAAGAAGCTGTCCAAATCTGTTCGAAGTATATCTCATGTTTACCAGCCCCCTCACGAAAAACAACCCACGGGAATCGAAACGCGCACAAGCTGAGAATTAACGAGGTGCGATTCCTAGCACAGGTTGGTGATATCCCGTGAAAAACAATCGCCGGGCCGTAGGGCTCCAACCACCGTCCACATAGTGGTCGATTGAATCAGTAAAACGAACTATTTGTATTAACCCAAACAGCTACCGTCCCATTTTAATTGAACAGCAGAATAAAGAAAATTGATATTCTGATCTAGTCAATGAAAATATGATTTGACTCTATCACCAGTATTGTTGCCAGTTTGAAGGACGATTCATTCAAACTTTTGCATACTTTTCAAAAACTATAGATCCCTTACAGTAACAGTTCGAAAACATATAGTGCTAAAAAGTTTCAAATTATTTAAAAATGTATGTATTTGCACCATGAACATGAAAAAAATATATTCATTTTATTTTTACACTAGAGCATCCAAACATTTCAGCACTAAAAACAATTGCCGACTTTCCTGCAAGAAATGCCACAGCAAGCGGTTTCATAGAACCATTATTTGTCATGGCATGACTTCAGGCTTTGCCAAACAAAAACTGAATAGCTGGACTGTGGAAGGAGTGTAAGACTTCTGGTAAAATAATCCAAAGACGTTAAAACATTCTTCGAAGTATGATACCAAACAATTGTCAGATTTCAGCAGGATTAACTAAAGTTGTCTGAGGTACTTATAGCTCACTATCATCTGAGTCATCATATAGAGAGACTTGACCTGACTTCTGTTGGAAATCTGACGACATAGCAGAGGAAATACTCTGCCCCTTACCAGACCGAATCAGATTTTCATTATTTGTTAGAATATCACTCTCGCCAACTAAGCTGGAGGATACATACCAAATAAACGAATCGGCTTCGTTTAGGAGCTGTATTCATTTCCTCGAATTGGAATAGGTACAAACCACAGTCTATATTTTCTAATGGAAGACAAATCAGAATCCACTCACAAGCAAATGCTCTTATTGATAAAAAATATTCAAAACAATAACATGGCCAACTACATCAATCAAGTGACATATTTCTCACTTGAGTATACATCAACTCGGGCTTTCAAGAATGAAACTTTTACCAAATGTCTGATTTGCTACTGCGGAAGATATCTTCAGTGGTATATCCATTGACTGTGAGAACGAACTAGTATATTGAAGGCTCAGCAACGACTTCGATGCATTCATCACTGAAAATGGCTGCCGCAAACGAAACATTTGTTACTACAAGCATAACTTTTTCAAAATCATTACACCTATTTTTCCTTCGAAGTTAGTTTGATTAGGTACCACAACAAATAATTCCACTGTCGTTATCTATCTATTTCATCACAACAAACAGAAGAAGCCTTAGTATTTCGACAAAAGTTTCTATATCGAGTATCATTCCGTGTTAGGAACCACACGTTAAAAGGTGAGACCTCGCTAATCCTTAGCTCGCACAAGTTTCGACTTCTGAGGGATGTCGTTCGTAGGGGTGCCACAGCTGGTTAACGGAAAAACATATTTTTAAACAGATTTAAACACAAGAAAAACCTGAAAGTGAGGTTATCTATACAAATATATTTCGGTAACAAACTCCTTTTCCTAAATTTCAGTTGCCCTATCTTCTGCTGGTTTCGCAAGGCATGAGCAAGAAAACGTAGTTCATGAACCACAATCTTCAGGCAGCTACAGCTTTAGTTCCTTCAAGGCAGATTTTGGCGGTCATGGAAGTGGAAAAGGGAGCTCTGGAGCGGAACTTTCTAGTTTGGCCCACAGTTCAGCAATCCAAGCCAACAATGCTGTCCAAAACCAACACACCGCTGGAAGTCAAGCAGCATTCGGAGTCAAGAGTAATTTAGCCAGTGTTGCTTTCGGAGTGAGTAGTTTCTAAAATTAATGTTGGTACTACTTCGCTTCAAAAATATATTGAAATTTCAAAACAATCGACAGAAAAAATAACGATTGAAATCAGTAGTGAACTGAATATGATTTCAAAAATGAACGATAAATCATTGAGTGGATTTCAAAGTAACATCTATTCTTGAAAAATCGTTAACGAATATTTCAACTTTCAACATCCACATGAGATGAAAAATCAAATTAGGGTTCATCTGCATATATTATGAACTACACTATTGAAGAAAAGTGAAGGTTCTCTATATAAAAATTTCACCAGATTGCAATCCTACTAGTAGGAGAAAGTAAAAAAAATACTATGAGACCTAGTGTTCGCAACAGATAAAAAATAATTTGAAAAATCAAGACCTGAAAATTAAAAATTCAGAAGATAATGTGGAAACCAAAAATGGTGTGACCTTGTTGGATCGCCTCTGACATTTTCGTCTTATATTTTCTTATTCTAGATATATCTTCATCGTTAGATAAAAATATATCGAGATCGACATATCAAGACCGATAAAGATATAGAATTAAGACCGAAAAATGAAAAATTCCGAAGGTAATATGGAAACCAAAAAATGCTGTAGCTTGTTGAATCACCTTTGGAATTTTGGTTATATATTTCTCTACTCTAGATATATCTTTATCGTCAGATTCTGAGTTTGATAGCAAAGTAAACTTGAAGTAAACACACTTTCATTTTCCAAAAAAAATTACATTGGCAATTACATTGAAACTATATACAGACCGCTCAAAAACCAAAGAAGGTTCAGGATGTGGAGTGTACTCCAGATCACTAAGCCTAACGATTGAGTGGGGAATGGGAAAAATACCAGCGTGGTCCAAACAAAACTGGCTGGTATCTCAATCGCCACAAAAGAAATAACCAGGAAAGGAATTTCTGGCAAAAACATAACAATCTACACGTATAGTAGACAAGCCCTATTAGCCTTGAACAGACAACGTGTTACCTCAAGGCTAGTACTAGAGTGCCACCAAGATTCAGCCAAAGCCTCGGTAGATAAAAACATTATCCTGAGGTAGGTTAAAGGGCAAGACAGGAGTAAAGGTAATCGCATTGCCGACTCTTTAGCCAAGGAAGCTGCTGGAACCAGCCAAATATAACGCTGCTGGAACCAGCCATATAACCCATGTTCAATCCCTGAAGGAATGGGATGGAATAAAAAGATGCAATCTTGCCAGGATCACTCTGGGCGACCCTGAGAAGCTGGCGCCGAAGAAATATCTCGCGATGACCAGGAAAAATCTACGCTTAACAGTAGGGACTGGCCACTGTCAACTAAGGAAACACTACCATAATATGGGGCTAATGGACACACCTTTATGCAGGATGTGTGAACAGGAAGATGAGACTGTCAGACATGTCCTATGTGAGTGCTCGAAGTTATCGTCAATGAGAGAGTTTGTGTTCGGTGAGTATTGGCCTACACCTGCAGATATAAAGGAGATGATGTCTCCCAGTGACCTGTCCACCTTCCTGGTAAGGACAGGATGGACGATGACCTAGGAGGACAACTCCTCGGGACGATGTACAATGGGACATATGTGTGCTGTGGGCTTACACTCTCCCTCCCTACTCTACAGAAACAGATACGATGAAACTAATGTGGCATATTTTCCTTCACTTCCTACCAGAGGTTCAAACAATTCATGCAATTTGTTAAATCCAGTTCACATGGTATAAGTTTATAGGGTCGCTATCGGTTTTTGAACTCGAGCCCAATGATAAACATTATTTTCAACAAATATTGCATTCGGCGCTAAGCCTATCACCCTTGATGAGAAGTATGGCATGTCAATACAGAGACATCTGGTGTCACATCATGAATGTTTTGATTTTAGTTTCTGGTTTCATTTAGTTGCCATGTAGTAAAAGCTGTAGGTGAAGTCTGAAAGCGTGTTTTCATTCAATGGCCAATGTTAAAGTTTTTTGCAACAAACCATAGTAGGAATCTTTGTTGAACTTGGATAATCGAGGTTTGAGTTTTCTGTTTTCACGCTCACTTGAAATCTACTCAGGAATAAAATGATGAACTTGAATTTTAGGAATGATGGCTTCATATTTGAACTAAAATATCCTCTATATGCTGTTTTTTCACAATTTCATCGTCATTGTCAAGATGAGTTAAACTTGTGTATGAAAATATATGTCAAAAAATCATCTATGGTTAAACTTCACCAATTACTCCACAGGCCGCTCAAGCAGCCCAGGCAGCCCTAGTTGGAAAACAAGCTCTTGTAGGAAACCTCAAATCACAACTTACCGAAGCCCAAAACCAAGTCCAAATCGAAATCGCTCAGTACCAACAGACCCAAAACGCGGCTCAAGCTGCAGAGGAAGCTGCTGCCCAAGCACAAGCTCAAGTCAACACTCTTTCTGCTGCCCTCGCTGCTGCGCAAGGTGGAAGCCAGCACGCTTCTCAAGCTGCAGCTGAAGCGGCCAACTCGGCCGCCGCTCAGCACGCCATGATCACCGAAGCTAAGCAACGCGTTAACCAAATCCTGTCCCAGTTACAAAGCGCATCGGAAGATTTGAAGGAGACCGAGGTATCTGCTCAGAGAGCAGCTGAATCTGCACAAATTGCTCAGTCGAACGCTGCTCATGCTGGAGCAGCCATATCGTCTGGTGGGTCCAAAGGAGGATATGGTCATGGACACTGGTACTGATCAACCAAAATTTTTATACTTAGAAATAAATATTTTGTGATATATTAGGGTGTTTTTTTCCACTGAACTTCATAGGATTACGATATGGGCGTCACCAGGATGAAAGTCAGAGTGGAGACAGGTACTCAAAATTGTAATTTTACAAGGAACAACAGACAAACTGATCAAATGAAAAATGTTTAATGAGACAACATTACAACATAAAACCAAAAATGAAAATGAACTACCGACTCACACATCGACCGATGTGTGAGTCGGTGGTTCAAGCCGCTGTACGATCGATTTTCCCTTGCTATCGTCCAACCCGTGTTAGGAATCACACGTTAGAAGATAAGACCTCGTGAGTCCTTAGCTCGCACAAATTTCGACTTCTGAGGATTTTCGTTCGTAGAGGTGCGACACTTGTACTTGTAACTTGTAACTAACATTATTGCAGTTTCGTCCTACAAGAACGTTTTCAAACGAATACAATTAACTGAAATAATTAATGTACACCCTTATATACATATGCAACCACTGTTAGTAATACCAAACTGTTCTTAATGCATTTTTAACTGAATTTTTCAACTGAGTTTCGAAAATACAAACAATCTCGACAAAGAAGCCAGACGCAACTCTTTATCCGGAAAAATAACAGTATCTGAACGTATTAGAATCTACTATTTCCATCCACATGTGGGATTCAGCTCCATCTAATTTTCATTGACATAGCTATATTCTTTCACGAATATAGTAACTAATAATTTTATTTCGAGTAATTCGAATTAATTTTATCGAACAAATGTGCAAATTTTGATCATTCAACTTTAATTTCGACTGAATTGCAATTCCTAAGCATATGAATTACTTTATCATGTATGTAGAACGGACTTCAAGAAATTTTGAAACGAGAATTTTTGAACATGAGAGAAGTTTCGCACTGAAGAAGACCAATTCCACCTATGCGTGCCACCTTTTGGAGAACGATCACGATTTCCACACTATGTATAACATACTCCATGTAGAAACCAAGAGACAGAAGTTGAACCTGCTGGAGTCGCTGGGAAAAAATAAGGGTAAACGTTCGGGTTTTTTACTGAACAACCGACGTCAGGCTGACCACTTACCATTGTTGAACCTTTTTTCAAAAATCTGATGACCAAAAACTGATACTGTAATTAGTTTACAAATTCTACCTGGGATCGCTTGCATTATCAACCACTTGAGTTTGGTACCTAAAATTGTTGTATATAAGAACTGTAGCCCAGTACTTAACATTCAATTCTACCAAGAAAGCTACGACGTTAACGAAACGCGTCTAAAAATGAAAATATTTATGAAAATTGCTTAATTCACTGGCCAACAAATGAAAAAAAAAATTGCGACTAATATTATAATGGCTATACATGGGACCTGACTGCGACTTCAACATCAAAAATTTTCCATCACGTAAAGATTTTGAGTTACAGTTATTTTCATTTTATACAAAAGTTTTCACATAGGTACTATAGGGAAATTTAAGATCAAAACAAGAATAAAACAATATATTTTGAGGATAAAACACAATACACATGGAAAAACATTCAAATAAAGTCTTTTGCGCATAACCTTTTTGAAAATATTGATTTTCGTTTATATATTTCATCGTTATCCCACATAAGGAACCAACAATAATCCCTCATCTTTGTTGCATCCTATCTGCTTCGGTAAAGTTGCTTCATTGTCATTCTCCTTGTTCGTCACTGACAGCACCCTAATTTTCTGGGAAAATATTCAAAAGGGAGTGCAAGAAATGGATTCTGAGAGACATGCGACATCCCATTCTGCAGTAGTTTTCAAGTAGTTCTTCTACAAGTGTTTCGTAATTTGTTCCCTAAAAACTTCGAAACAATTTTTTTGAAAGAACTCCACGCAGCTGATTCAACATTACTCAATTTTTTATCAAACTGTTGATCATTCAGTAGTTTTCTAATTTGTGGTCCAACAAATATACCTTCCTTGAGCTTTGCATCACTTAATTTTGGAAAAACATACCTATTCTTTGTCTAATACTTTTACAAAATTTTTCATTAACCCCAGTTTAATGTCTAATGGAGGTAACAAAACGTTTTTGGTGGATGCAGATTCGAATACTGGGCAGAGCCACTATGTTGCCAGATTTTAAACAATTTCCTCAATTTAGGGGCAAGGCAAATTTGGAATGTTGTGTTCATAAAATTTTTGTAAAAAAAATCATAACTCAAAAATGATACGTGTTAGAAAAATTTTACTATCATTTTCGCATTTAATGACCAAAAATTAACTAAGAACTGCCTTTGGCATTACAGTCGTGAATTGGCTGTAAACTAGTAATACCTTCTCATTCATTTCATGAAATGAAAAATGAAAAAAAAACAATGTGATTAAATGTCCTGAACAATAATTTAATCAAATACATATAATTTCAATTCCTGTCTCTTCAAGTTACTTTTGCTTAATAAAATCTGCAGCTTTTTCGGCTACCATCACAACCGTAGCTAATGTGTTTCCTGAAATTGGAAAGGGTATAACTGACGCGTCTGCGATTCTCAAATTTTTGATTCCGTAAACTCGCAGTTCATTGTCTACAACGGCAAATCGATCTGAAGGCGGTCCCATCCTACAGGAACTGCTTTGGTGTTCACCCGGTAGTGTTTGGTAAAGCATTGCACATTTCCAGTAACCATCCGAGTTGAATCTGAAAGATGAATGTAAGAAAATTAATACAAAATAATATACAGGCCGTTTCTTTTATCATATGGTAACATTGCTATGTTCTAAACCGTAACAGATCGAAGACGATTAAATGGATAAATATATCTTATCTTATCTTATGAACGCAAAATTTTAATAACGCAATCAACAGACTGTTTCATAATATAGAAAAACGTACATCAACTTCAATAAGGATATAGTCATACCCCACTTCATCTGTGAAAATACTCACTTGTGTTTGGTAGAACAATCACCATACGTTGTTTTATTCAGTTCCAATCCGTATTTATCTTTCAATAACGTGGTAGTTTCAAATATCCGAAGTAAAGTTCTTACAGCCTCCAATAATCTCTCCTGATCCTCTGATTCAGTCAGATAATTTGCCACGATAATTGGTGCTTCCAAAGGATCCTTCGATCTCAACGAAATATAGCCTCTGCTTTTGGGATGCAACAGTGTAGGAGATATTCTGATGGTTTTTGGAGCATCGGGATGCTCTGGGTCTTCAAGCTCATGTTCTTGGCCAGTTCGAGAACATTTAGCTTGGAAACCGTAACTCATAAACAGCATATCAGGATTATCTCCTTTTTTGTCAGCATATTTTGAATTAAATCTTCCAAAGAGCTGGGTCAATCCTATAAAGCAACGACTCATTAGAAGGATTACTGTTGCGTGAATGAATTCACTTCAGTACAAGAAGATAAATTTGATAATATTTCTCGTTATATAGCTGACGTATATATATTCTAAATACAAATGCTAATCTCATATTTATAATGATGTCTTCAAATTACTCAGTATTTCATTTTGTCTGTTTTTTTCTTCTGATGAATATGTTTTCCAGGAGTTCGAGACTTCGAAAGAAAACGTCAATGCTCATTGAGTGAAAAGACTCCCAAAATAAAAACTGAAACATTCAATGACCGTTCTCCAGAACACGTTGAATGAAACCCACAGATCCCACAGATAATGTCTCCGTAGGAGTACTGCTCACTTTTAAACAATTGTCAAACATCATCATAAGCTGACTACTGATTATTCGGAGTAAAATATTATTTTGAACCATTGTTTACGATACCTTTAATTTCAATTGACTCCAGAATTGATTCTTTTCCTGGTAGTGTCAAACCAGAACTTCCTATATGAATAGAATGTTCAAGAAATGAGGAGAATGCTCAATTCGCAGATTATGTACATTCGATCAGAGATTTTTCATGTTTGTACATCCGTTTCGTACATATGTTCACAGTTTCAGCTGTTTAGCATGTTCAGTTTCTTGGTAAAAGACATAAAATTAAGAATGTTTCAGGTGTTCGGCGATTTTCTGCTATCGAAAACAATTCATCAAAGAATTTGCATCAAATTTTGTTTAAAAAATGAAATTAAGTGCTCAAAAGAACACTCGAAATCTTGACAGTAGCATACAGTAATTGTACTCTAAGTCAGAAATATGTTTACAAATGGTCCAACCTTCCCACAGAAAGTCGAGAAGATGTAAATGACGCTGGCGCTGGACGTCCCAACACATCAACAACCGATGAAAATGTTGAAAAAGTGGCAACGGTTAATCCACCACAGAGTAACAGTCTCGTTTATCAACTACCCACCAGAAGGACCGGATTATCAGACCCAGCCACTGTATATTTTAGACCGGATATTTCTCCTTGTTCGTTACCAAAATTGATGACCTCACTATAGAAGTCACGTATGTTGAAAACGAAATCAAACAAAGAATCGAATGAAATTCGAATTGAAAAATATAAGAATCACGAAGCAAAAAACAAAGATTCAATAATTCTCACATTCCATAACATTAAACAGACGACTATAAATGCACTGCATTCATTAAATAAAAGTACATTTTGGACTCTCAACTGAAATATATTCATCACGCTCTGAAACATCAATGGAGCATTCTTCAAGCCAAAAGTCAACCTGAGGAATTCGTGATGACCATTTTGTAGGATAAATACACTTTTGAAAATCTTTATGTTATCGATTTCAATTCGATTGAAACCAGAGAACAAGATCGAACGTGGAGAAGTATGCATATTTGACAAGTTGGTCCAGAAGGTATGATATCATTGGTAATGAGTACTTGTTATCTACAATAAGTTCAACCAACTTGAACTCTTTCTTTGTCTATCCCAAGAAACAAATCTCGTTATATTAGAGATTTCAATATGAATGAAACACTGCCACATGTTACAACTTTTTTTAGATTGTCAGAAAAGTCATTAATGTATTTTCTTTGACAACCCAAACTGGCGGTGACAAAGAAGAGATAGAAGAAAAAAATAATTGAATTTCTGATGTTTATTAATTTTTCGTTCCACTTTTCCTTGCAAATTTAAGGGAATTGATATAATTTGGTAAAAACTGGTTCTGCATCCTTGGCGTCTTTCAAATTTGTGAACGTAAGTCGATCACCTCCTGAATGAGAGATGTATGAAAATTCAAGATATGCTCACGTTATCAGTTCAGATTCATTCCGTTTTAAACGTTCTTAAAGTATCTATATTTCATTTCAAATTATCTGCCTTCATACCATAGATGGTGTGCTTGTAATGGGATATATCATTGCCATTTTATAATCATGCTTCTTCAAGGACAGTTGAGTCCAACAATGCATTCGTGCTTTACGAGAAAGACAAGCACATGAGGCGGAGAAAGGGAATCTGAAACCACCCCGAGAGTCGGCGTCCGGCGGTTCGGGTAGGTATAAAAAACTTTTACAGATACACACACACACACACAGACACACAATTTGGTTCTAATAAAGACACATACACACACACACACATACTGCACACAATAGTTTCAGGTTTTACAAATGATCAGATATAAGGGAGTAAAAGCACCAGAAGCTGACTCTCGACCACGTAAGGTCAGATTTGTCAGCTTGCAATCTTACTGTGCCAAGCAGCCGCTGGAGGACCACTTGGAAGTGAATGTGGGTGGACGAATGAGATTTTAGCTCACAGTTACAGTGTGGGGAAGATTTTATCTTAATGCACTTAACGCTAGAGAGACATGGTGCTTTGTTTTTGAATTCTGGTTGCCACTGAATCAAGATGATCCATACAACCTGTCATTTGATTTGAAAAATGTCAATAGATCTGTATCTGTGGTCATCAAATGAACAAAATTGATTTTTGATCTTCAAAAAAACTATCTGAAAGTTTATAATCATATGAGAAAATGATTATAGTTGAGTTATTGTTTATAGATCCTTACCCGGAGCGGATAATGGTCCTCCCCGATTCTTCTGATATTGTTGGACTGCATTCCAAGTCAAATCGTTATAATTCTTCAATTTCTTTAGTGCCAGTGTAACACCCACCGACACGTGATCGGTTAAATTTTTGCCAACACCGGGTAGCTCATGCACCTGTTTGATCCCAACTCGATCTAGATCTTCTTTTGGTCCTACTCCTGACAATAAAAGTAGTTGAGGAGTATTTACGATTCCACCTGCTAGGATAACCTCTTTTCTTGCCATCACGGTGAAATATTGTTTCTTGTATACGAATTCCACACCAACAGCTACTTTGTCTTTGTTGATGATGATTTTGGTAGCGGTCGAATTCAGCATAACGTGAAGATACGGATTGTTTCTGTGAGGTCTGAGGAAAGCTTTTGCGCAGCTTACTCGTACACCTTTCCTGAAAGAAAGATATGTTATTGTGTTAAGAAACAGTATGCAAATTTGGCCCTATAATGGCAAATTCAAGATACTGATTTTCATTTCAATTATAACTTGTAATTATTGGTAACTTCACTTCTAGTTCATAAAATGAGACTACGCAGTTATCGTTAAATAGATTTATTGTTCATAAAACTTTCACAAGACCAGACCACAAGTTATGAAAATCATAATGGACTTTTCTCATCAGAATGTTCATAAAGCAAAATCGTGAATCAAAATGTTGGGTATAGTTCAAGTAAACGATATAGTACAACCTACCTTCCAACAGCTCCCATTTAATAATTTAATGAGGGAGCTAACTAGTGTCTGTATTCATTTCTGATTATATCAAAAATATAAATAATAATAATATATAATAAATATTTCGTTTATATAAATGAGTGGATAAGTAGGGATTCAAATAACAGGGTGATAATTGAGAATACTTCTGAATACTACTCACTCACATATTATATACAATCGATCGCTTCAAAAACACTTCTCTAACTTTCTTCGGAAGCTTCTGATAATTCCTCTTCCATATTCTCTGTTTTACTATTGCTGTCGTCATTCAAATCTAAAATGAATGTATTTCCACCATTATTATGGAAATGTCCATATAGTGTATAGTCTTTTTCAACTAAAATTACTTTTTTAATCCTTCTCTGCCAGTCTTCTCCGGTAATATTAGATACTTTTTCTTCAATTAGCTCTATTATCTTCTTATCAAATTTTGTTTGTAGGCATGTTAAGCGTACACATTCTCGAACCATCAGTCCACCCTTTCGTAACTGTGTCGTGAGTGTCATACCAAGATTAATCCAAACAGAAAATTTGCCATTGTTCTTGTCTATATTTAGTCATTTGTTCTGAGTATTCGTTACGCAATTCCACTATTCTTCTGCTTTTCATAACTGCTTGACGTTTGTTTATTATTTTGAATCTGAATCCTAGTTTCTTTATCCAATTCTGACGAGTTTTGTAACAGCAGCTCACGTTATTGTCGGAAGTATTCAATTTCTTTCTTATGATTTCAGTTGTCGAAATCTCACTGCTTTTGTAACAGTTTTGTTTTATTAGATGAACAACTAAAGATTTTGTTAATTCTGTATCACATCGCATCTTGCATTCATAAGGTTTGTTTTTGACTATTTAACGTACAGTTGAGAAAGGAATTTCGGTCAAATCTGATGTTGCTTGTAATAGTTTGTTTCCCTCGAAACCAAACTTGAGATGTGTATTTTTATATACATTGAAACATTTTCTCTGTGTTTCAATATAAAAATGCAGCTGAATCTTATTCACTGGTATCTCTCTTTCGCAGTGTTCACCATCGCTACTGGAATCACTACACTGGAAAAAAGTCTGCGTTGTCATCACACTCGTTATTACTATTAGTACTTGTCCAAGGACGCCACATTTTAAACAGATAACAAAAATTTTAACTAACTATAACTGCACCAATATCGAAGTTCAACACTCAAATAGCGATCAATTTCCGAACTGAACACGACGGCGATAACCATCACCGCATTCCAGATTTCTATTCGTAACCGTAACTTGAGTTCAAATTTAATTTTATGACTATTCAGCCAATCATAAAACTCGGTTAGTAAAAATTATCCAAGACGAACCGCTAATTATTCAATCCACGTGGACTATTTCGCAGCCGGTTCTTTTCTACGTATTGGTTTTTTTTGGCCTTTGAGAGTGCCTACAACTTTAACTGAGCACAATATCGTTTACTTCGAACTAATGCCTGTATGCTCTCAATAAGTCATGGAACTAGGAGTGAGAAAATCAGTACTACATTCGATCTTTTTTTCGATCAACGGATAAATTCAATTTTCAATTTTTTCCTATTACTCTTAACACTTCGATTTGAGATTTGTTTATTACTGATTTTTTTATTTCTGCTTTGAAAAAACTAATACTGTTTTTTAAGCTGGAAAAAAGCGAAACTGAGGCAGTATCGGAATCAATGTCACAAAAGTCACGAGAGAGAATACAACGGATTTGACAGATGAGTATATAAAGATAAAGAAAACAGATGGAGCCAGTGAAAAAGTTCTGTTGGATTTTGGCATATATTATCGAAAAGGCAAACAACACACACACGAAAAATGTCAAACCATCTCCACTATCACCGTTTTGTCACGATCAATATCTCATCCACACGTATGCATATAGTTAACGAAAACTCACTATAGAAAACATGCTCTTACATTATTTATGATGTAATATCCTGAAACAAAATTATACACTCCTGAATGGGTACTAAAATTTGAGTTTCGCAGAAATGGAATACATCCTAAGTATTAAATAGACTTTAGAGAAATCGAAAACGAGTATGTTAAATGGCCCCGTCAATATTTCCAACGGATCAGAATTGGCAAACTATGTGAGAAAATAAATGTTATGCCTGATTCAGTACAGAAGAAGATGATAACATTGTTATAAAAACGAAGATAGAAACGAGCATTCACAGAGTGAATTTCTGTTGTGAAGTAAATTCAACATAGAGAAAAACAGTTTCTGGACAAATGGACAATACTGGACAACAATTTCCTCTTGGCCATGAGCAATACTCCAGATTTCATCAACGAAGAATTAGAATTTGATCTCATTTGGGCTAACATGCATGAGAATTGTCTGCAAGTCATTCCAGATCAACACGATTGGTGGTTTCGAAAAATATTTTTTGTGGAAAAGAATTTCAAATATCTTCGATTGAATTCAAAGTTTTCATAGTACCTGTCGCCTTCGCCAAATATTAGATCGATTTCAATTTTGTTTTAAACGTTCATCAAAAATCTTCTCCATGGGGTTATCGGTGAATAATGGAAATAGTAATTGAATGATGGTGCAAATAACAATTATATAACATGTTACATTCATATTACAATTTTTTGAATGATTTGCAAGCATTTATTATATGTATATGAATCTGTAATAGGAAAAACAATCAAAATTTACAATTGAAATTTTCATTGGAATATGTGAAAGTTTGAATTAAATTATCAGGAAAGTAACATTAGTTTTCTGCTCTTTTCAAAACTATACAGATTCAAAATACAGGGTTTGTTTTGAGGTGAATTATTTTTTTAATATGGTTGACGATGTTCCATGGTGAATTTCACTAGTTCAGACTTTAATTGTCTAATATGATATAAAATGATTTGAAAGCCCTTAAAAAATCAATGAAATTAAAATGAATAGTTGGAAATAACAATTATATTAAGCAAAAAAAAACCTGAAATGAGATTACAACAAAATAAAATACAAGCAAAAATTGAAAACTGAACAGTGAAAAGGAAATAAAAATCAAAAGATTCCAAGCCAAGTTACTGAACGACGTTTCGGTTGTTAGTATCCACAATTGTCTTCGGGTGATGACTGAGTGAATTATCTTGTTATTTTTTCAAATTCCAAATCCGGATTCAAATTTTTGTTCGGAACTTTATTGTTGAAATAATATATGTAATGGATATGAAAAAAAAAGATACATTGTTCGTGAGAAAAATCGAATATAGCTGCTCCTCACATTATTATATGTATACAGCATATGAATGTGTAATGAAAAAAAATTAAAGCATGTAAGTACTACTATTTAGCTATTTTTATTTCATTCATACAACTTGAAATTCTTCATCAAATGTGCGATCCCCAGTATGTGTTTGAGGTTGCATTCTTCAAAATTCGAAGATTTTTTTTGTACCCTAACAAAAATCTTTTCGAATGTTAAAACAAGAGAAAGTTTTTAGGGGAGAAAAGTTTTGGCTGTCTACTTCTTCATCTCCGTACGGATGTTTCGAGTACAAACTGAATAGGAAAAAGGTTTTTTTTGTATAATTCAATGTTCATATAAGTAGTGGTAAAGAAATTGTGATGCACTGTTTGGAACCTTTGGTGTAGTAATGATTATTATCGGACTTTTTTCCTAACACCAAACCGTTTTTTTAACACCTCGACACGTGTCAAATTTCAGTTTGATCTTTCTTCTGAAGATGATCACTTGGTGATCGAAACACGTATCGAGGTGGCAAAATAACGGTTTAGTGTTGGGGAAAAAACCTCAGAAATATTCAGTAGTAAAGAAAGTTTTTTTTCGTGTAATTCAATGTTTATGTGGAAGTAGTTGTTTCGACAAAACTTTTTCTCCAGCTTTTTTCTAAAAATTACTCCTTCGCATGATCTATACAACTTCGTGAAGACTTTATTTCTAAATTTTTGTATAAAGATGAAGGAGTAGAAAGCCAAAACCTTCATTTTCCAAAAATTGATCTCTTTTAGAAAATATACCCCTTTCAATTTGAAGAGGAAGGAATTAAATCGTATATTTCGGAATTACAATCACTTTGGAAAGATTCAATCAATTTCCATCTACTCATTTCACAATTAGCTCTGAATATGACGACAAACATTACCTTGGTTATTATTTATCGTTGTGATACAATACTATATCGATTTTGGAAACGCTTGTTGGTAATATAAAAAATCGTTATTCACAAATTCAAAAATGGGCACAGTGCATTCAACACTCTTTCATTATCACTTTGAGTTTGGCAAGATATCTTTACCTCATATTTCCTTGAATCTGTGAAAATCCAATGAACTGTTCCCCGTTTGTATCAGGAGATATGGGAAAACCAGCTCGTTTAGCGGCTTCGAAAAAATCCGGTAATATTTCAGGTCGGTAGTTATACGATTCTATTGTCATTGGTCCTCTAGTTCCATGATACCTTGATGAAAACAAACGACCTAAAAAATGCGTGAAATTCCATTACTGATAATGACGAGATCTACAGTGAATACTCATTATTCTGAGAATGTTCTGTGTGAGAAGTCAAGGAATTGTTTTTTTCAAAAATAGAGGAATAATTGAATATGTTATGGTATTTGTCGTATTTATTCAAGCACGACGAAACCAAAGTTTCATATTAATTTTTTCCAGGTTTACCGTTTATTTGTTGTATTAGTATTGTAACAAATTATTTTGTGATACGTCAGGGATTTTTATAATATTTTCACGGCTTGTGGCTACCCAAGCAATATTGTTAGAATTGCCAACATCAGTTGTTGAAAATCTTTTCTGAAGATTCCGTTTATAAATGTTTATTTCAAATAGAAAAATTAATACAATTAATAAATATAGAATAATAGACATATATGCTCACAGAAGCAAGGGGTTGCTTGTGCGTGAGTGAGAAAAGGTAAGTTGATATTCAGTAAGCATGATATAGAAACATACGTAAACGGTAAAATAGTTGAATATATTGACAACACTTATAATTAAAATATATACAGTAAAAGCGAAATAACGATAACACTTATAACTAAAATATATACGAAAATAATGAGGAGTCATATTCGAGAAATTTGCGTCAGAATCGGGGTATTTTATCAAAAGCGGAAACTTCACTATTCAATTTGAGTATTGAATACACTAAAAGTGAGATTGTCATATTCGAGAAAATTTTATCACAATCGAGGCATTTTGTCGTAATCATAAATTTCATCATATTCAGATTAGAGTATGGAATAATATAGAATTTACAAAAGTCATGTTTTCATTAAATTTTGTTGTTGACTATATCACTAAAAAACAGTCTTCCGGTGGTTTGCATCCAAATTTTCAATTTATGTTTGAATGAGTTAATGTTGTTGATCAATATAAAGAAGGAGTATTTCCAGAATATATGTTAATTCTAGGATCGGGCTTGATTCGTTTAAATTTTTCCCAAATCAGACCTCCTGATGTACAAGCAGAAGAAATATGAACACTCAGTAATAATAGACACGAAATCAATTCTGAATCCTACAATTGTCACACTTACCAACTTCCGAATTTCCTTCTGATTTTTTGAAATAAGGCAAAACATCTTTGTAACTCCAACCTTTATTTCCCGCAGCTTCCCAATCATCATAGTTTCTCGGAACACCTCTAACGTAACCCAAGCCGTGATGAGAACTACAGCCCCCAAGCATTTTTGCCCTTGACCAGGCACACCTATTTTGCGGTGACCCTATAAATAAAAAATTGAAATGACATCTAAACTTCGCTGTGAGTCTACAGAGGAGATGGATGTCGAGTTTACGACTCCAATTGACCTCACTGTAAATTTAATTCAGGAGCAAGTCTACAGAGGAAATAGATGTCGAGTTTATGACTCCAACTGACCTCCCTGTAAATTCAGTTCAGGAGCGAGACTTTCTCAACTCCCCAACTCCTGATCCGATAACTGAACCTAAAAAGGTTTGGTGGTGCAGTCAGGAAACGACTGAGTCGTCTCCTCAAAAACCCTCAAATGGGAAGGTTGTCGCGGGTATCAAGGTGAAAATCTTGCACCTTGACTATCAGACTACCTCAATAATAATGGAACAGCAGAGCATATACTTTGTGCCTGCCCCGCTGGGGACCAAATCAGGTTTTCAGAGTTCGTCAGAGCTGTACTCTTACCATATGACCTGAAAGACCACTCACCATACAAACTAATCGGCTTCGTTAAGAAGCTGGGTTTATTTGGTCGAGTGTGAATAGGTGTGAGCCACAATAAACCCTTGCGGGTTGCGGCCGAATAGACCCACTCACTTTGGGCCCAACCTAACCTAACCCAACTTCAACTGCTGCTGAAATAAGGCAAAGGAAAATGAACATTATCAGTGCAATGTTGGTAGTGATTCTAACTTATCAGTGTTCGAAAAATAGCTTTCATATGATTAAATAGAATATGACATCACATTTGTAACAATACAGGGCTTTTCATGATGAGCGTTGATTAGCCGTTTCTGGCGAACTATTCAACGGATCAACCTGAAAATTCCACAGTATGCATAAATCAATATGACCTACACGCCTTGAATATTTTAGATGAAGCGGCGTTGTCGCTTCTACTATAAAGTAGCGGCTTCTTTGATTTTTCAAATGGAACACCCCGTATATAATATCATATTATGATTCATTATCACTTTGTCAACAAATTCATATACTATTTCCCTATACCTATCTATTACTGTTTAGAAGATATAAATTAATTTCGATATTTTTTTTACCAAACATGAATTTTTATAAATGCTGATAATCTTGAACTCTCTTGCACTGAAACGATCAAATTTGAAATGGAGTGGAGTGATACTATGAGGATCTTCACTCCGAGTCATATTTCCATTTGCTTCATACAGGGTCTTCAAAAAATGCAGATACTTTGATCTCATGAAAGAATGAGTGGAACTCAATTTTTTCAAATGTAACACCCTGTATATTTCAACATTTTTGAGCTCTACATCCAATTTTAGATTAACTTTGTTCAGATAATACTATTTCTATTTTGAACCGTTTTCGAGATAAACTGCTTCAAACGGAAATTGACATGGTTTCCTTGTTCATCACTCATTTTTGTAAAACAGATTTCGTTTGATGTTTCTCAATTAGTCACAGATAATACAATGAAAGGATAATTATTAAAATACTCCTCAACCATCGAATAAAACTTCTCTTCAAACAATAGTTTTACTAACGCTGAAACACGAACTGAAAATAATAAACCTCGTAAATTCATGAGTTAATTTAATCGTCAGTATATTTCAGAATATGTTCAAACACATCTCCACCTCTACTTGAACAAACATGTAATCTCTTCATAAGATTGTCATGTGTAGCGCTTCTGATCAAGTCTGGAGTCAAACTATTGAAAGCAGTTGTAACTCTCGATTTCATATCTTCTATTGTTGTTATTGGAGTAGAGTAAACCATATTTTTAATGAAACCCCACACGAAATAATCTAATGGATTGCCATCTGATGTTCTAGGAGGCCAACGAAGAGGTCCATTATTACCAATCCATCTATCTTCGAAGATTTCGGGTAAAGCTTCGCTGACTGAATGAGAATTATGGGGTGGACCACCATCCAGTAATTCTTCATATTTTGATGCATTCAAATTATCATCATAAAACTCGATATAAAAAATTGACTCATTCTTTATGGCACAAAATACATTGAATTGCCATCTTTCTTGAAAACCCCTTTGGCGGACAACATGGGGATTTTCTGGCGCCCAATAATGACTGTTGTGTCTATTGAAAACTCCATTTTTTGTGAACTTGGCCTCATCTGTCCATATGATATTGTCAAGGAAATGTTCATCCTCTTGAGTCTTGACAAGTAACCATTCAAAGAATATCTAGATCCTTATTGAGATATGCAACTTCCTACTGGCAGTGAAGATGTGCCTCCGTAGCCGATGTCCTGGAAATGAAATGACGAGACAAGTGTGCTGTCGTCAGCAAAGCAATATATTGGAACCTCATTCCACACACGGTCAAAGGCCTTAGAAATATCAAGCGCAATAGCTCCATACACCTCGATTGTGTTATTCCAAATATGGGTGACATACGATAGTATGTGGCCTTCCATCGTATGTTTCCGAAAGCCATATTGATGATCACTCAGTTGAGACGCAGGTACCTAGCAGATGTATCTACGGTATTGATAGAAACAACATTATATGTAGATTTACTTTAATCTTTCTCTTGGAGATGAACATTTGGTGATTGAAACACGTAACTAGGTGTTGGAAATAACGGTTTGCTGTTGGGACAGAACTCCAGTAATATTCACTTCCTATGTAAACTGAGCCATGAAATACTGTAAATGGCGGCTGATTTCAGAAACCTTGGCCGATCTAAGAGTGTTGCATAGTTGATCAGTTGGCTTGTGCATTCATAAGCCAACTGATCAACAAAACAGTACTGGCTTGTGCATATACTTCATTATGTGACATTCTTAAGCCAACTGATCAACAAAACAGTACTTACTGATCGGAAAAAGACATATAAGAGCATCAATCGTCTGTCAGCTTTCACAGGATTCATGTAAAATGTCATTTTGTCTTTTAAAAATTAAAATTGTGTGAGTATCATTATGGATAAGTGTTGATGATGTTCATCAAGTAACGAGTCAGTCGATTCATAATTCATTGATAGGTTAAACTAAAAGAATATACAATAATCCTATCCTTAGCTTTGGTTCAATTTCAGATGGTTTGTCATTATCATCAATACTATATATTTTTCGAACCACACCAAAAAATAAGTGTTAAACATGTAGGTATTCGTTACCTCTACAAGCAACAGGTTCCGGATCGAGTTTGTAACCCCAAGATGTCTCATTGCTGTTACCAAACGCCAAATTCAGAGCCGGCACTTGCATAACAGTTGGTTCATCAGTTCCAGCTTCGATTACAAGAATCTGAAAAGAAATAAGGAATTGTGGATTGAAGTAAGCTAAGTTCATATACTGTCAACCGTTGCTTTGCAAATTTTCTATGAATTACCGATTTTATTATGGAGTGTCCAACAAGTCCCCCAACATAACCAGTTGATGATGGTCGAAAAAAATAGGAAACTCCTGAGCAGTAGAAACCTTAAAAATGTGTTTTTATTTGATTTAACTCTGGAACTGTCAACGTAATGCCTACTTCCAGCAACTTGATTGATGGTGTTCTGTGTTCTGGTGTTCAAGAGCAGTGCTTGCTTTGGATCAACTTTTGATATCATTCGTTCTTTCCATGGAAAGAAAAATGTGTATTTTTCTTGTTCTATTGGTTGAAGAAAAATGGACCAGTCAACCGGTACTACGATTCAAAGAAAGTTTGAAAATATATGGTCATTTTATCGTATTCAAATACATGAACTGAATACTAACTGAATTTCCCGTCAGTCGGTACAAAACCGATATTGCAAGCCAATCCTTTTGGAAAAATCTGTAATCATGAAAGCGAGGTATTATTGTTACCCTGGTTTGGAATTTCCTGGAGTCATTTTAGATGCCAATCATAATGAACCAGTGTGTTTATGCTTTATAAAGAAACAGAAACTTCCGAACTTTGACAATTGATAAAGGCCATCTTGTTAAAGCTTTATTCAGTCTGATTTGCCAAATCACCATGGATTGATATAGCATTCAACAAGACGTGTGAATAATGAAATTGTTTTATCAAAACGGGTCACTAGAGATGACTTCCGCAGTTGCAGTTGAAACGTTTGGAGATTATAACCGAAGAAAACCACGGCAAAACCCGCTAGCCGTAAAAGCCTACATTCCCATATAAAAAGCATCGATGTCAAATTTCCTGGTTGATCCATGGCAAATAAGTTAATGCTGAAATACATCATTGAAATCAAATTTTCATCAACATGCTCTGAAAAGAACGAAAATAAGTTTTAATATTGATTCAAACACGACAATTTTTTACATTGAACAATTCATATGATATAAAAGTCTGTTGTGACATTTACCTATTTTGTGAAAAACATTTATATCTTCTTAGAATTATTTTTGTCAAGATCAATTCATTTTTGACGTTTTCATCGCTAGATTTATTCCTCAATCTGTTTCATTTCATTGAATGAGTCATTGATACATTATCGGTCCCTACAATATTTGTTCCAGCACTATAACTCCAAAAAAATTAGTATGCCAGCTATGTTGTGTTCTGATATTTTGAATTTTTTTAGCTTGAACCCTTTCATTTGATATCCATATCATGGAGGTGTATGGAAAATCTAGTCGTTCATCTTAGATTCAAGCTAGAATTATTCTTAATTTTGATAAGTATGCGTGTTAAAATAAATACCAACGATCTGTCGTTGTACAGTCGCTTCAAAGAAAAAAAGTATGTTTTCTGCATCATCAATTCAACCTAAGTGATGTTCATGAATATTTTATGTACTGCGATTCGGTTTGTACTGAATATCCACAATTTCAAACTATCAATTACAAATTACTAGATTTGAAACTATGTTAGGAATGTATGCACGTAGATGTTTCAGCATGTAGCTGATTACTTTTGTGTTATCATTAGTGATTACCTGATTATCAATAAAAATACATGAATAAAAAATATTCAAACAATTGGTGAAATTCCAACAATTCATATTTTCTGGGTTTTATTTGAAAAATATCTCCATTAAAATAAATCTATATTCGTTAATACCCATACATTGTCTTAACAAACATTATAGAAAAGTTTTTTCCCCATTTACTTTCTTATTAGTCAGTGGGCTATGCTTGAAGTTTGAAGTTTTTCTTCCTTATGCAGAGGAATGTGCAGTTGGTTAGTACCTCGTCCACTAGATGGAGTGACATTTTGTGATGTTCGCTCCAACTTCGGAAGAGGAATGAAATACTCTGAAAGAATTCCGATTTTCAATTGTGTCGATGATGGTCACTATCTTGCACTGATGAGTGGCTAATAAGCCCGAAACCGGTCTGCAAGTGCCCGTTCCAGAATTGAAGGTCGACTCTTTCAGTTGTATTGCCAATTGCATATACAAAAAAATTTCTGTGAAGATTACTGCACTGATGCCTGTCGGATATAATTCAACGCCCTTCGTGGTATTAGCCAGGGGAATAGTTGTTTTCTGATAGGCGTCAGTCCATTAAATCTACTGTGTAGGTATATCGAGACTGGCTGGAACGTTTGAAGTTCATTTGCTTTAAATTTCTTTCTATTCAAATAGATTTATCTCCCGGGAATTATGACACCTAATTAAACATTTTCAATTTATGTTCAGTTATCGTGAAATTGAACATATTCTCACATACAATCGACCTACAGAAAACTCACTTCAAAATCGCCAATTTTCTTCCAATGGTTTTGTTAGCAGTTATTTTTCCTATAATTTTCACCGATTTGCAAATGCTCCTTTCTTTTCAGATCTTCTCATATTTTCAATCAACGCATTACCCTACCTCGAATTATTATCTCTTGTTTGGAATCCTCATTACAACATCCACAATATTGAACGAATTCTGAATTACATCAATTTCAAAAATCATATACTAGTTGTTGCTCTCGGCTTCCCCTGTGTAGAATTTGGTTTGTCACATTTAGTTTCGTAACAAACCATTTTGAACAAATAGTTATAATATTTTTTTATTAACCCAAAACCTCAGGTTTCCAACTTCAAAACTGACGAAATTCGATACACTCTCCAAACCCCTTTCTTGATGCTTATTTACGCTATACAAAGAACCTACCTGCATATTTCAAGATTTTAGGTTCAGTAGCTTCGGCTGTACGTTAATAGAGTGTCAGTCAATCAATAGGTACTTACTTATACAATATTGAATAGCATCAGAAAAAAAACTGAGAGTATTAAGATGAAATACACTGAAATACATATTATAAATGCGTAGAGTTTGTAAGAATGGATGAATGTAATGTATATATTGAAATACACAAAGGGAAGGTTCCTACGTTAATGCGGGAAACAACTGTTATTGTATAAGTGGGTACCGATTGATTGAGTGACACTCTTATCTGTAAAGTAGTAAGGTTGAGTGTAGGCCCACAGCATTAAGGCCACATTTGGCCCATTGTACATCCTCCCGAGGAGTTGTCCTCCTAGGTCATCGTTCATCCTGTCCTTTCCAGGAAGGTGGACAGGTCACTGGAAGACATCTCCTTTATATCGGCAGGTGTAGGCTAAGACTTGCCAAACATACACTGTCTAGTTGACGACAACTCCGGACACTCACATAGGACATGCCTGACAGTTTCATCTTCCTGTTAACACATCCTGTATAGAGGTGTGTCCACTAGCCGCATATGATGTTGGTGTTTCCTTTGTTAACAGTGGCCAGTCAGAAATCCTACCGTTAAGCGAAGATTTTTCCTGGTCATGGCCAGATATTTCTTGTGCGTCAGCTACCCAAGGTCGCCCAGGATGATCCTGGCAAGATTGCATCCTTTGATTCCATCCCATCTCTTTAGGGATGGAGCATGGGTGTGACGTTTTGCTAGTTCCGCAATTGTCGAAATCATCAGGCCGTAGATGTCACTGCGTCCTAAAATCCTTAGTCCTGACGCTTCCTTGGCTAAAGAGTCGACAATGCGATTACCTTTACTCCTGTCGTGCCCTCCACCCCAGGATAATGTTATTATCTATCGAGGCTTTGGCTAAATTTTGGTGGCACTCTAGTACTAACCTTGAAGTAACCCTTTGTCTGTTCAAGGCTAATAGGGCTTGTCTACTATCAGTGCAGATTGTTATGTTTTTGTCAGAAAATCCTCTCCTAGATATTACTTTACTGGAGGTTGAGATACCAGCCAGTTCTGTTTGAACCACGCTGGTATTTTTTCCATTCCCCAATTGATCCTTAAGCTCAGTGATCTGGAGTAAACTCCACATCCTGAGCCTTCTTTGGCGTACGTATATATACGTATTGCATTTGTAGCATCTGACTCTGTGTTCTGTTTCATTTTATAGGGTTTATCAAACACAAACCTGGGTTCAATTTCATCACTGGCTGCCTGCAGCAAAGGTTGCGCAGTAAGCGCTTCTCGCCATAGGCTCAGCCCCAATCGACCCATTCCTACTTCGAGGTTTATACCAGCCGTGCGCAATGGTAACATGGCCATTAACACAATTTCCTTAACGTACAGGTTCAGAGGGGTCAGACCAGTGATTAATTCCATTGCCGCGGTTGGTGTTGTTCTCATGGCTCCTGTGATGTTCAAACAAGCCAATCGCTGTATTTGATATAATTTTTAGATGGTCGTTACTTGTAGAACTGTCGGTCCCCATACAATGCCTCCGTACGTCAACATATATCCTATTATTGCAGTGTAGATCCAGGTAACCACACGGGGTGAAAGACCCCTTGCGCGTCCCACTGTCCTCCGACATTGCTCATAAGCCACATATGCTCTTTTTGCTCTACTCTGTAGGTAAGAGTTTCTTGTTAGCTTCCTGTCGAGGGTAGTGCTAAAATATTTCACCTCTTCAGAAAGTTTTGGCGGAACACTAACGCTAACGATACCTTATTCAACTTAATACTTGTTGAAAAAGCAGTTATTTTGAAAGGACTGACGGAGTTTTCATGTCAAGATTTTTCATCCCTCAGTTTTATCCTGGCCTCTGCTTGTTTGGCACATTGTGGATTAACAGTACATACCTTATATTTCTCTGATTCCGCTAACCGTCCTGCCACCGTTGATCCACCTGCCCCACCTCCAACAACAATATAATCATATATTTCATCGGGACGTGTTTTTGGCTTCACTCTGTGATATGAGTCATCTACATCTGGCATGTTTCTGAAGATGGAGTCCACCAAGGACATAAAAAGAACAAAGCTGCTACCAGGACATGATGCTGCAAAAGGAGGGCCATAAAATTGTGGACCGCCAACTCCGCTCATTTTCGTTTTCCAAGTAGAAGCTTGAAACAAAAAAAAAGAATTCTTGAAAAATACCCATGTCAAAATGCTCAAAATGTAGTCTGATGTTTTTGGGAATTTCGTAAATAGCAGGGACTTTTGTTTTTCAAAATTGTGAACCCACGATTGATCATCATACTTCTTGATCCAAGGAATCATCATCATTGACAGATTGTCTTTTATGTAGCAATAGTATGAATTCTAGTATATCATAATATACATGGACCCTTATAACATACATTACCATCATTAGAGCTTCTTCAGGTACCTTGAGGGTGACCAGCCATATTCATCTATTAATACCCGCCGTGTATATACACAATGTATATATATATCTTCATTAGGAAACTATAATTATTTTCATATGACCAATTACTGAACTATTTGCGAGATAATATCATGAGGCTCCCGTATAATTGTTGACCTGTTTTTTATTTTTCCTGAAAATCATTGTTCCAAAAGTTATTCAGGGTGGCTCGCTTTTAACACAAATGATTTGTAGCTCCAGAACCATAAACTTCAGATCATATGTTTTTTACTTTGTTGAAATCTGCTCATCATGGAGTATCTGATAATGCGAAACAATACAGGGGGATCCATTAAAAAAAAATTGGTGACATGCTCTGGGGGTGCGATAGGGAAGTAACATCAAATGTGAATATGTCAAAATGTGTTTTTTTTATTTTTCCTGCGAATCATTGAACCAAAAGTTATTCAGGGTCGCTCGTTTTAAATGGAATGCACTGTATATACACACATAAATATATACATATCACGTTTACGATTACTTCAATATTTTATAATTTATATATATCATTTGTGTTGGATTTTCTCTAGGTTCACTGTTTCCAGGAATGTGTATTGTTTTGTGTAATATATTGAATGTTGGGTCTTGTTGTGTTTTGATTTGTATTTGTTCCTCGATAAGTGAATTATGACTGTTAAACTTATGGAAGTACCTGCACTAAGGCGTTCTGACCGCATAAAAGAACAGACAAGAGGATTAAACGTTCAGTTTGAATAGAGCTTTGAAGATGACAGCACAGCCAGCTGTCGAAAGCGCTCGATTAAATTTTACAAAGGATTTGAAGCTTTATATCTTCTATTAATTATCTGCGAGCGCTTTCGACAGCTGGTCGTACTGTCATCTTTTAGACACTCCTCAAACTGAACTTGTCATCCTGTCGTCCGCCTCTTTATACGGTCCGAACGTCTCAACTCAGGTATTTCAGGTACTTCAGGTGAATTTGCCTGTATTTGTTCTGCATCAGGTACTATTCTTTGTGTTAGATTTTCTCTAGGAATGTATGGTTTTGTTTAATATATTGAATTAAAGGTCTTGTTCAATTTACTACAAGTAAAATGGCAGATATGCATTTCTGTTATGGAATAGCTCACGGAAACTCGAATGCTGCAAGACGCATTTACCATGAAAGATTTTATCAGCGTTTAGTGCCTAAAAGAAGAACTTCTGTACATCTCCGTGCACGACTTTCTGAAACAGGCAGCTTTAAAAGATCAACGGTTGTCATTGGGAGGCCTGCAACGGTACGAACAGTTCAAATTGAAGAAGCTGTTTTAAATGAAATTGAAGTAAATCGTCATACCAGTACTCGGAAAATATCTGAAGAACTGAATATTAGCCATGTCACAGTGTGGCAGATTTTAAGAGCCCAGCAGCTATATCCCTATCATATGCAATGTGTGCAAGCACTATTGCCCAGAGATTTGCCTGTAGAGATTTGTCTTTTTCTTATTGGTTACGCGGTAAAATAAGAAGAAATCCAGGTTTCCTAAGTCGAATATTATTTACAGATGGAGCTTGTTTTTCTCGCAATTCAATTATTAACTTCCACAACAATCACATATGGACCGAAAAAAATCCACACGCCTTGATAGAAAATAATTTTCAAGAACAGTTTTCTTTTAATATTTGGGTTGGAATTGCCGGTGACCTTCTCATTGGGCCTCACTTCCTTCCACCTAGACTTAATGGAGAAGAATACCGAAGGTTTTTACCTGGACTTCCAGAAAAAATTCCAGTCATAGAAAGATTCCGTATGTGGTACATGCACGATGGTGCTCCACCACACTTTAGTGTAGTGGCACGGCAATTTTTTTATTAAAATCTACCATAATCTCTGGATTGGGAGAGCAGGCCCACACCCATGGTCACCTCACTCGTCTGAAATGAATCCCTTAGATTATTTTCTCTGGGGACACCTTAAAGCGTTGGTATACAAAACTGCTAGTCAAAGTGAAGAGGATTTACGAAATAAAATCAATAATTTATGTGACATGATAAAAAATACGCCAGGTATTTTCAGAAGAGTGCGAAATTCAATGATGCGGCGGCTAGACGGTTGTATTGAAGCCAAAGGAGGCCATTTCCAACACTTAATTTAGTGCAATTCGTTAGTCTAGATGTTAATGATATTTGATATTTGTTGTTATTGTTATTTGATTGGTAATGAAAAATTGTAAAAATAATAATATCCGAAAGAAACATTTAATTCCCCATATTATTCCTTGTGAGGTCCAGGGATATGCAATTAGGTCGACTTTTTTTTCTTAAAAACTAAGTAAGATACGAAAAAAAAAATTAATAGACAAAAAAGTTGTGTATTTCTAATTGCCTAATCCAAAGAAATAATAAAAATTGCACAAAAGTCAGTGGCGTACATTTTTAAGTCAAAAATATTCGTTCAAATCCCGCTCGAGACGCCACTGGACTAATTAAATTGAATCACGCTCGGGCTAAATTAGCTCCTTGATGTTATAAATACCATTGCCAAACTACAACAAAATTAGGTAAAGGATATTTAAAATATTTACGAATAACTTTTTATTTATTTTTATTTGAAGACCCTGTATCTTGAGAACGAAGGATATGCGGACCCATATTTATATGAACATTTCGTCTTAAAATTACCTAAAGAATCGTCTGTTAAATTTATGGTACATAATTAATTAAGATCCTGTATATAAACAAATGATGATACTAATTTTGTGTGAGTAATAACCTAAGCTTATTTCAAGTTGAACAATTTGAATATTAAATAGTTCAACTCAGATCAGTTTACCACTTCTATCAGGCGTCCCTCCTAGACGCACGTTTTTTACATTGATATCTACAGCACATTTTCTGGTTTACTTCACATAGGTGTTTCATCTTCAAACCAAGTACAACTCCTCGCTTCAGGTTAGCATCAGTTTTTTTTATTTTTCAAATTGAATGAAATTATTCGTATCAAAAAAAACCATAAATCAACTCAGACAAATATCCTAACACATCATACCTTGAATGTTAATTTTTTGGTTATTTACGGAACGGTAACTCATCAATTACTGGTAGCGATAATGGGAATATAACAATGCAAATATTGTTAGTTTCAGCGTTTGTCACTATCAGTCCAACAGAAAACATAAAAAGTTATCAAACATCCATGTCATTTATATTGTGTTTTGAAATTTTCTGGTCTAGTACTCATACCTATATCCATATATTTTTATGAGAATTATGTCAATAATTTCATTCGGCATCTGTTTTCATTTCTATCGCAAAAGTTCGCTTCTCTTCGATAAAAATGAAGAGAGAAATTATCTAAATTTGTCGCATACTACGTTAGACATTGGAAAATATTATAGAATCACCAGAAACTTACTCTTTTCTGATAATATGATATAATTCGATGTATCAATAATAAACATCCAACAAGTCTACCACCACAGCGTCTATATTTTCAATTTCTACATATCTTTAGGATGAACTTATCTAAAATAACAATTCTTTCAGGCCAGTCTCACCTCACCTACACTTTGGGTTAATGAACTGACACCTATCAGAATTCAACTACACCTCTGGCTAATATCACTAAGGGCGTTGAATATATCCGACAGGTGTCAGTGCAGGATTCTTCATTGAAGTAATTCCTGCATATGCTGTAGACGATACAACTGCCGGAATCGATTTTCAATCATTGGAACGGACACTTGCAAACCGGTTTCGGGCTATTTGGCCTCTCGTCAATGCAAGGTAGTGTTCATCATCAGAATGAAGTCGATGATTTGCCATTATTAAAAATCGAATTTTTTTCAGAGTATTATTCCTCGAACTAGGCTGAAGCGAACGACAAACAACATATTTGTCATCGCTTCATCTGCCCTTAAACGAGGTAACCAACCGCATATCCGACTCGCCCAATTCCTCGTATATAGAATATAGTAAGGAAGCATATTTAAATACTGGCTGTAAATGAAATTATCTAATACATAATTTCGTTTAGGTCAGTCTCAACTAACCTACAATATAGGTTAATGGACTGGCAAATATCATAAAACAACTACTCCCCTGGCTGATACCACGAAGGGCGTTGTCAGTGCATAGTTCTTCACTGAAGTTATTCCTCCATAAGCTGTTGGCGATACAACAAAGAATCGATTTTTCATTATTGGAACGGGACGTTCCAATAATTCGATGGGATCATTACATTTTGTTGGAGAAGTAACTCGAATTCAACACAAATCTTATCAAAGCCCGAGAATCAGGACAAAAAACTCCATACCTATAATCTTATCACGACTTGGATGAAAAAACAAGTTAACTCATTAACATATCTTCCAACTAAATGACCCAGAAAAGTGTATAATCAATGTGACACAGACCTTAGCTTGAATCATACACTAAATTTCAGTTTCTTTTGCAAAACGATCTTCAAGTGATGAATAGAAGTCGATAAATGTAAGGAACAAACGATATTGTATTTTTCAATAATTCATTTAAGAAGACAAAAAAGAAATAATAAATTATTAAAATTATGTTTATAAAAAAAATTATAAGAATCCATAAAATGAAAAATATGACAAGAATTCCAAATAAATGGAATGTGTACATAATAGTTGATCTACTTGCCTCCTCTAGCCCTTCTGCGGGCTTGCACATTGTTCCACTCTTCCATTTCGAAGCTATTCTGAGCTGTTAGGTGGATCATGTCTGGTATGCAACTTCCTGTAAATGTAACTCCAAACATGCTCTATCGGATGCATGTCTGGTGAGTTCGGTGGCCAATCCATCCTCGCAATTCTTTCTTTCTCCAGAGCATTTTGCACAGCCAGTGTTCGATGTGGTGGGGCATTATCATCCATGAATACAAAATCATCTCCTATGGCGCCTCTGAACAGTCGAACTACATCAAAAATATAACTTTGAAGGTAAAATTGTCCCGTGATTGTCCTAGGTAGAATTATCAGTTATATTCGTATACCCTAGATGAAACCCCCACACCATAATGCTCCACGTTGATTTGGATTGATTTTCAATGCCAAATTCAGTCGATGCTGACGCCCTGTTGGTTTCCAAACGCGAATGCGGTAGTCATCATGTATAAGCCCAAAACGGAGCTCATTGGAAAATATGGTATTTCGCTACCGATATTAGCTTCCTTGTGAATGGGTTCTTGCCCAGTTCAAACGTCTTGGTCTGTGTATGGCATGTATTCTCAGTGACCACTGAAAGCGCCTACATAATGAATCAGCACTACGAAGACGCCTACGAATCATGCGGCTTGACAAATTGATACTATACGTTCTTTGGAAATGTCTTCCATAGCCTTGTGCTGTTTCAAAAGGGTTCCTGTTTCAAAAGGGGTCCTGCCGTTGTGTTTTCCGTCTTCTCCGACCGCTTTGGTGCATTCCGTGAAAACGACCACGTTCTGTGAAGTCTTCGAGATTACCCTTAGAAATCGTGCTCAGCATTAAACCTAGTTCTCTCATTATATGCCATTAGGTCCATTCTTGCTCGTGCAAAGTTACAATTACCATAGAATCTTCTTCAGATAAACGTGCAACAGGCATTACACATGAATAACTGCCACTATATTATCAGACAAGAGTTGAAAATTCACTGATTTAAGGTTCTGTTTTTCTGATTCTACATTGAATTACACGAAAAAAAAATTTGAAAACAATGGTCATTGATATCATTCACAGGATTGCTGCATAATATAGTGAATGAAAGAAGTAAAATTTTAGTGTCTAGTGTCTGTTTCCGAAACATCGGATTGAGGATGACAATGTTCCATGTAAGTGAAATTTCTTTCATATACTATATTGTGTAGCAATCCTGTGAATGATATCTGATTCAATTCCATAACGAATGTCTGGAATACAAACTGAATAGAAAAAAGTGTTTTTATTTAATTCAATGTTCGTATAAAAGTAGTTGTTTCGACACACTGTTTCACTCCAACTGACAGAGCTAAATATGTCGCAGTATATTCCGCAGCTGTTAAATCCATTCGGTCAAAGATTTTGCATGATATTCTTATTAGAATAACGATATAGGTAGTAATTTTCTAGGAAAATCGAATGTGTATCTCACAAAGCAAAAATAATAATAATAATAGCCTTTATTGGGTGAAATAGAGTATAACATCCAAGAGGCGACGTTCAAAACTGCAGTGTAGAACACTACAGGTTTGTTCTACCACTACACACTCCACTCCACCACTGCTACCACTCCACAACCAGCTACCTGAATTGGCAACAGAAAAAATATATAACAAATACAAATAAATAGAAAAAAGTGATACATTATACACCTGATATCAATCAGCATTCGAATAACAACAAAAAATATATACATATGGATAAATTATTGAGTATTTAAGTTTGTCTACCCAGAAGTTCAATTTTAAATTTTTGCCTAAAAATAAATATTTTAAAATGTTTTAAATCAAGGAGCGATTTGAAATGTAGTAGCCAATTTTGATCAACTTTTCATATTAAAACACCCGAACACGGAAAAATATCAGAAAATTCTGCACGGAAACGGTATTGAAATACTTTTCCCAACAAAAAATATTCTAGGATTGTGAAGTTTAGAAACAGACCACAACAAAATTTATGAATTCAGTACTTTTCTTTATTGTACCTGCTTTATTATTCGAAATAAACATTTTATGCATATTAGCAGTCAGATTTTGAAAACAAATAAATGTTCAAACAGTATTGAAATAAATACTGGTGTACAACAAGGATCCGTTATCGGTCCCATATTGGTCCTGTTTTATATTAACGATTTGATGAACATAAGTATATCTGGAACATTCACTATTTTCGCTGACGACACCACTATATTATGGCATAGTAAAGGTATAGATATACTCAATGAGACAATAGCTCATGATATACAAAAAATCAAGTTTTGGTGTGATTCCAATCTACTATCCCTTAATATTTCGAAAATAAATATGATGACTTTCAAATGTTCACTTCAGAATTCATCTGTAACGAGCCGTATCATTGAGATCAAAGAGTGTAGTAAATTTCTGGGACAGTATATAGACGATGGACTGAAATTTGACGCTCACATCAGAAAAATGAAAAGCAAAATTTCCACCGGGTGTTATGCAGTGATGTTATTGCTAAAGAACTGGGAGGTTATACTGCGAAAACAGCATATCACGCTTTGATAGAGTCTCACTTAAGGTACGGTATACCTTTTTGGGATGTGTGTAGCCTTAATTTGCTGGAGTCTGTATTTGTATCACAGAAGAGAGCTATACGATACTTGCAAAGCTAACCCTCGTGACTCATGTTTATAGATAAAACAAATTTTGACGGTGGTAGCTCTTTTTATTCTGGAGACAGTGTGTTTAATTAAAAAACATCTTGTGAAACTTGAGGTTACTACCCATCACTATACAACTCGTCAGAGCATGCAAAAAAAATTAAAATTACCTATCTCTTGCAACTCTTTGGTCAAGGACTCCTCGTTTTACAGTGGTGTGAAGATGTATAAACATCTGCCGAGTTACACTAAAGAGATAAATATCGATACCAATCAATACAAAAAAATTATTAAAGAAATTTTCAGTAATAGACTCTATTACATTTTGACTGAGTTCTTTACCGATCATTTTTAACTTAGCATGTTTATGTGTATGTATGTTTCAACCATCGTTTGTGCTTTTTTATTCAGTGTTTTTATAATTTAGTTCACATTACATAAAATCTATACTTTCATATTCATAGGACATTTATGTATTTATATTTATTCACTAACTTTGTCAACAAGATTTTTTTCTTTGGACAATAAAGTATATATTAACAATACTTTCAAAGCATTACTGGCGGTACAGTTTCAATATAGAATAAAGAAGACTTGGATTTTTTTTAATGAATACAGAATTGATTTTGAAAGCAAATCAATTAGTCATATGTCTATCTTTGGAAGTGAGAAAATAATAGCAACGGCGTAATTATAGCAACATGTGAATAAAACTCAAAAATTCATTTCAATTGATACAAATAATGAATAAATGATTCCTTCAATTTCAATGAAAAGAATAATTCTAGTGAGTTATTTCATTGTGTGAATGTATCCGGTATAGAAAGGTTTCGACTTTCTACTCCTTCATCATTATACGAAATAATGTGGGTAGTTGAAATAGTTATTATTTTTCTCAAAAAGTTTCTTTGATTTTTTTCATATGCTTCCATGAAAGCATTCAAAAAACTAATAAATAAAATGAATACTCACTGGAACGGTTAAATGCTTGCAATTGTTATACCCACCGTACTTTCGATTCAACTGTGAAAATATGTTTTGTAGATATCGAATATATTGCTAAATGAATATTCGTCGCTGTTGATATCTGTTGAAAAAATTTTCAACAGATATCATGTACGTTATTTTCAGTTGTTATCGCTTTCTGGAATCGTAAATCCCTTCTTCCATCATTATGCTTTGAAGTAGACCATAATATCGGTTGATTCTATAATTGTAATATTATTCAAGAAAAAATCGATGTGTGGAAGTTATCACCACTTATCAATTCATAAACTATTTGCAATATTCATGAATTTCAGGAAAGCCCGAGGACTTGGCAATAAATCAACACAATACCAAAAATTGTTTTCACAAAATTATTGCAAAAATACAGTGGAAAATTCACTCCAGAATAGATTAATATTCATAACTGATTTCACTGAATTTAAGTTCAACCAAAGCTACGTTTCTGAATTCATCAATCACGGATCAACACAAAATTTTACTTTAACTTTCAAGCATCAAATTTCAATTTTTTAGGTCGTAATTTAAATAAACATTTTTATCATTTTCATTAAGTTTTACTATCAAAATGACTCACAAAAAATTAGAAAATAATTCAGAAGTGCACCCTTTTACTTTTACTTTTATGTTCATAGGTACTATCTTTCAATAAATCCCAAATATAGTCTCCCATCATGTTTTCATTGTATAAGCTTTGATATCGTTGTTTGAAGCTGATAATGTCCTGGTGAAAACGTTCTCCTTGCTCTTCTGAATTCGCATGCAGCATATGTAGGAACTTTTAATGACATCCAGCAGCCCATGGCCTTAACATTTTTTAGCATATTTTCAACTAGCTTTTTGTAGTTTTCGGCTTTGTTATTTCCTAAAAATCCACCAACGACTGCTTTGAAACTGTTCCAACTCGCTTTTTGAGTACGATTCACCAACGCTGGCAACTTTTCATCGACGAAAATCTGTCTGATTTGCGGACCAACAAAAACCCCAGCTTTAACCTTTGCTTCTGATAACCTCAAAAACATTTTTCTCAAGTATTCAAAACTGCTGAGATTTGATCCAGTTTTTTAACAAATTGTTTCATCAACCCTAACTTAATGTGCAGAGGTGGCATTACCACCTTTTCCGCTTGAACAATTGGCTCAAATTTTACGTTTTCTTTCCCGACACAAAGTTCTGTTCTTACAGGCCATGACCGTTGAGTATAATGCTTGGCAACCACTCTGCTATCCCATAAGCACAAATAACACGGATACTTTGTATATCCGCTTTGAAGTCCCATAAAAAATTCCATCATTTTAAAATCTCCAATCAGCAGTCAGTTATACTCGTGATACTTTACTTTTGCTCGGATTCACAATGCAAAAGTAGCAGTCGTTAACGTGGTCTTTTAGTTCTCGCCAGATTCTTGGTATTGCAAATTTCATAGACCTTTTCTCACCTCGACACCAACATATTTTTAATTAAAATTTTCTTACTTCCCAAACATCTTTTACAATAACTACAAGCAACATGTGGAGCCCATGTCTTGTCTTGGTTCCGTACCGGACAGTCAAAATATGCTTCGTAGGCTTCACAGAGAACGTAAGATGGATTTAATTCGTATTTTACATCTCGAACTTTAATAAATTGCCCACATATACAGCGTGACTCACGGTCGATGGTAGGTTAGACGTTTCTGTAAAACACAAAGCATGATTTTTCTGAAAATTTCACACATTTCCTTACTTGTTTTATCGATCTAAAATATTTTCAGCATTGCGTCGTTGCCACTTCTATCAAAAAGTCCTAGCAATTATATTTTTTTAAATGGAACACCCCGTATATTAATACATTTTTGGAATCGCTCTAGTATTTTAATACTTTTTTGTGTTCATAATGTCCTATACCTATCTCTATCTGTTTTCGAGATAAAAAATAAATTGTGCTAAATATGGTCCAAAACATAGCCTTAATTGAAATTAAGTACATCAGTACTTAATTCGATTATTCGAAATATTCAAATAACACCAAGAAATCGACTCCATATCATACAGGGCGTGCTAAAATTACTATCAATTCCATTGTGCATAAAAGTAGTCGAAAGTTCAAAGTTTCAAATGAAACTCCCTGTATATTACTCGATAAATTGAAACATGGTGAAAAATGCTTCAAGATGATATACATGTCCCTATACCTAAATCGTCAAGTTTTCTTAATAAAGCCGTTTTTGTGAAAAAATAGTTATTCACGTTTTACCTACAAGTGTTGAAAGTGGCATTTTATTTGGTGAGTGGGGATTATTGCAAAACGAGCGTAAGCAAGTGGAGCAAACTCACGAGCAAAATGAAATCACTTCTAACAAATGTCTCATACAAATTTTTTTGTATAACGTTACTGTTGATAATTAAAAAAAAATATAGGGTCCATGGGATTTGAACACCCGATCTTTGGATTACAAGGCATATGCTACAACTACATACGCCAACTCACGTTATTTTAAGAAGGATTATTAGTTAGTCATGAAGGACTTTCTACAGTTGGACTGAATACTACTTCGTCATCGTCAGTAACTTCACAGGGATTTAATATTACCAATAGCATGAACTGCATGTGTGAACTTTCCTAAATGATTTTTTGGTAGGTGTTCTGACTGAAGTGTTTCTATCAAAGAGATTTTCAATAACAGTTGTACAAAAAATAATTTTTAAAGAATTTGATTTCTAGGTAGCCGTGGAAATATCATGCTTATGACAGTTTGGTGACTTTTATAAGTAATTGATAAATGGTTATTGACGGTGTTTCAAAAAATCTCCAAAACTGAATACAAATTTTGATTATTCAAACGAAGTTCTTATGAAATTATGTATTATACAAGGACAGTGTGATCAAATCATTGCCAGAACTTGTGGAGAATTCAACCAAATGTATCCTGAATTAACACCAATGAACGAGAGGAAGTTTGTAAGATTACAAAATAATTACCTTAAATATGACTCCATGTTAAAAGCGCCTTCAACATTACCAAGCTTCCATTACCAAGCTTCCATTCGTAGTGCAGAAAAATATTTAAGTGTATCACATGCTTCAGTAGGTACAACGAATTTTGAAAAATCACGGAATGCATCCGTATAAATTCACCAAAGTTCAAGCTCTAAAAGCAGAAGACTTCGAAAATAGAATGCTTTTTGTGAATCCCTTTTGATTCATACACAGGAAGATCGGGAATTTTTGTCAAAAATAATTTGTAGCGACGAATCAAAATTTACGAGGAATGGTATTTTCAATAGAAGGAATAAACAGTTTTGGGCTGATCATAATTCTCATGTTACAAAAGAAATGGGTTTTCAAGAAAAAATTGACCTGAATGTTTTCTGTATTCTGAAGAACAATAAAAATTAGCTTTTCATTTATGAAGACACACTGAATGCAGAGAGATATCTCCAAATATTAAGGATGACTGTAACCGATTTTCTTGAAAATTTGCCTTTAGAGGAATATAGGAATTCGTGGTTTCAACTGGACGGAGCGCCAGCTCATTCCACCCAGGAAGTTTCCAGGAATCTTGACTAACTATTCGACGATCGTTGGTTTAGGCGTTTAGGGCCGTGGGACTGGCCACCGAGATCACCCGATCTCACGCCACTTGACTTTTTTTATGGGGTGTTTCAAAAGAAAGGGTATACAGTACGCCAGTGTCTACCAAAGAAGAATTTCTACGGCGAATAGTGCGGAGTATTGAAGATCTGGATCCTCAGGAAATTGAAAAAGCAACCACAAGTCGCGTACAAAAAAACATTTCAAAGTGTTTAGAATGTAATGGACAACATTTTCAGCATTTATTGTGAAAATGTGATATTTTGTTTACAATTTTGTTATTTTGAATCATCCTATTCTGTTTAATAGGACTTTTTGATGGAAGTGGCAACGCCGCATTGCTGAAAATATTTTAGATCGATAGAACAGGTAAGGAAATGTGAGAGGTGGAATTTTCAGAAAAATTATGCTTTGCGTTTTCCAGAAACGTCTAACCTACCATCGACCGTGAGTCACGCTGTATAACAAAATGCATCAGCATCATATTTACACTTTCTCGACACCTGATCGTTGTTTATCACTCTAGTGCCTTCTATCAGCACTGTGTGAACGTTAAAACCCCACTCTGATCGCGCAGTATTTTTAAATGTATCAAAAATGATTAAAATTTATACAAAATTCAAAAATGAGTATCATTACTACAACTATTACAAAAGCAAACTTTGTACCGAAAAATAGTATTTTCTTTTCGTTTTTGTTCATAATTCAGCAGAAAATCATAAAATAAACTTTAGTTAAGTTTAGTTTAGTTAAGTTTAGCCTATACCTAAAAAAAATCGAACTAACTGTCAATTCGAATAGAGCTTGTCAGCGTCGGGTCACTGGCCACCTCAATTGTCCTAATTAAGACTAATTATCGAGGAATTCGCCACTACGAGGGTAGTCTGACAAGTTTTTGACATCAACATGAGGATAGCAGCACTAGTAAATAAAAGCTAGTGAATTTCGTTGTTCATCAAACTTTCAGCCATTTTGGACGCTCAGTTGTTATGTAACAGTCGTTTAAGTGAATGATCTAGTATCGAGCTAATGATCTAGTATCGAGCTGTCATTAAATATTTGTTTTTGAAATGCAATACGCCCTACGAAAATCAAAGATGAGTTCGATTCTCCGCACCATCATTTACCAGAGGGACATTTTGGGCACCTGAATTTGAACGTGGGCATATGGGCTTGGGAGACGATGATTGTTCAGGACGTCAAAAAACTGCAAACTAGCACTAAAAAGTGCTAGACGACTGCCAAATTGAAGTGAGAGATATAGCAGAGATTATGTACATGTCGAAAGAACGTGTTTGTCACATTTGGGTATAAATTGGTATAATGACTCTACCATGTTTGTTTATATACCACTGCATTGTCTATATGAGGGAAAATATTACTAATTGTGGACTCTCTCATTACTATCGTGATGAAAATAAATATAAACTACAACAACCATTCACTATATCATCAGTGTCGCAGAATCATCCGGGATCGATGGGTTTCAGGCTCTATAACTCT